AACAAGGTGTAAAGCTGGATGAACACAGCAGGCCAAGCAGCATCAGAGAAGCAGGAAAGCTGACGTTTCGGGCCTAGACCCTTCTTCAGAATGACGTTGCTGGAGTTGTCCTAAATCAGGTAAATGGAGCATATCCCACAACATCCTTGTCTTGGGCATTCCAAGTCTGCTCAGGGCTACAGTATTTAGATAGCTGGTCCAATTCAATTTCTGGTCAATGGTAAAACTCAGGATGTAGATACTACAGGTTCCAGCAATAGTAATGTCATTGAACGGAAAGGGACATTTATTAAATTCTTTCCTGTTGAAGATGATCATTCCCTGGAACTTTGGTATCACAAATGTTAGTTGTTTGCTGCTTATCAGCTCAAGTCTGGACGCTGTTCAGGTCTTAATGCATAAGGATGTGGACTGGTTTAGTATCTGAGGTATTACAAATGACACTGAACATTGTGCAATCATCCTGGCTTTATCGATGAAGCAGTTCAAGGTGGTTTCGCTGAGCCCACTTACTCAGAAAAACTCCTGACATGATGTCTTGGGTGTGAGATGATTGACCTCCCACAAACATTTTACTTTGTGCTAAGTATAACTCTGTCCAGTAGAGTTTTCTCCTTGATTCCCATTGAGTTCAGTTTTGTTAGGCCACACTTGATCAAATGCTACCTCGACATCAAGAGCAATGACTCTCACCTCACTTCTGGATTTCGTCCATGTTTGGACCAAAACTGGAAAGAGGTCAGGAGCTGAGTGTTCTTGGCAGAACCCAAATGGAATATTAATGAGCAGATTACTTTTTTACAAGTGCCACAGTCAACGATCCTTTCCATCACTTTGATGGAGAGTGGACTGATAGGCTGGGTTTGATCTGTCTTGTTTTTTGTGCACATGACATACCTGGGAAATTGTATTGCTTCATTACCAACGGGATGCCTTCTATTGTGATCCCAGCAAAGTCAAGCGCTGAAGCTAGCTTTGCACTCATTGATGTCTCCTGTTGACCAAAGCAGGTGCAGAAGGCATCAGGATGGGATGTGACACTTCCAAGGGGCTGACAGTCAAATGTGCTGGCTTAAAACTGAGGTTCCTAAGTACACAGAAATGACAAACAAGGGACTGAGTGGCAAGTCAATGCTGGCAAAGTGAAGGCTTTCTTGAATGAGTCTCAGGGGTGACAGAGGGAAGCTCCATAGTGTCAGAGGGAGGATACATGGAGGATCCATTACCCGAGTCAATATGCTCTTACACCATGTACATGGATATGTGAACAGTAAGAACAATCACCCTGTGGACCTCCATGACGAGCTTCACTTTGATGAGTTAGGAGGAGGCTAGAGGTAGACTGTTACTAGCTTCAGGGCTTCCTGTTGGCTGATCAGTCACAAGAGAAAGATCCAAAGAATATACTATATAGATGGTACAGATGGTTCAACATAGACCAGCAAGGAAGTGGCAACAGAGGCTCCAGAGGTGCAAAAAGCTTCCAAACCAGAAGCCAGTGGAATGATACAGATTAGCCTAAAATTGGTTAGGTGAAGTTGAACTAGGAAGCAATCCCACATTCTCTGGGCTCTACTGAGGGAGGTATTGGAAATCCCAGTCAGCCACACACACAAGTACATCAGAAGATAACAAATACCCTTTTCAGAAAAAGCTCATGATTTTCTGAAATTGCATTTGGATTCCTAGTGGGGCAGCCATAGCAATCAATTTTTCCTTCATACTCAGAACTCCTGCAGGTCTACTAACTGTATTGATGCAACAATGAGAGCTCCCTTGAAGTAGGCACGTGCATTAAGTAACTGGAAAGGTATTCATTCTATGAATGTGCAACTGGACTGTAATCACACAGAACAATTAATTCAGATTTGTAACTGCAATCCAGGGAACTCTCACAATGACTAATTCTCTCCTGCTTGCAATTTCCACAAGTGTTTGAGTCACTTCAATGAATTGTAAGCTGGTTCCTTGGAAGAAGACGTTACAACATGGAGACAGACAGCCAAATCAAAATCAGTCTCACTATCCCTGTATTAAAAACACAATAAAATTAGAATACTAATGACCCTCAAAAATGCCCCAATGGTTCTAACCAGACTTCTTGAATAACCAATACTAGACACAAAATTTACAGCTTAACAAAAGAATTAACAATTTATTGAGAATACAGTAGTTTTAACAAAATTCAACAACGTAATCTAATTAATGTCTATGATATAAATTCACTCTTCTTTGATTCTAGCCCCCTTTCACACACAGGCAGACAGATGAACAGATACAGTTAAGGGATAAATCAAAAGAAAAATAAAAGAGATTAACGGGCCCAGAGATAGTAAGAACTGCCGATGCTGGAGCCTGCTGTGTTCCTCCAGCTCCACACTAGATTAACTGGCCAGTTCACTTAAGCTGTTTCCACAATCCATAATATCAAAGGCACATAGGTTTGCATTTTGCTTGGTTTCTGAAGACACCAGTCAATGCAGACCAGTTTATCAGACCTCCTTCCTGTAGCTTTGGCAGCTATAACCCTTCTGACTTAAACACAGTTCAAACCCAACACAAACACTGTTTTCTTATTGTTATACTGGATGACACTGGGCTCCCTGTGAGGCCCTAGTTAAATCCGAAGATCTGCCAAGAATAAATGTGTAATTAACCTCCAGGTCTGGCCTCATTTGTACTCTATTTTTAAAAAACAAGTTACTGTTCACAACTCAAAGTTCACCTTCACCTTCTGGCTCACAGTTCACGACTCCAAACAAAAAATGATAAAAATAAAATAATGATGGTTTCAACACTGGGAATAACTGCAGAAGACTCATTGATGTCACTAGCTAGAAATCCACAAGATACCACCAAGGACTGTAAGAATGTCACCCATGTCTCAACAAGGGCAACCACAGATCAGGTGACTGGTCTACTGAAAATGAAGTTCCACTTTTTGAACCACTCAGATACAGTACTTCAATACTCATCACAGAAAGTGTCCAAGATGATGGTGGTCTCATAGCTCAGTGGTCGGGACTCCCTCGTGGGTGGGGACAGCGTTCATTTTTCTAATGTTCTGACGGCTGTATTAAAATGTGCAATTTCAGGTTAAATCTGCTGATGTTGCAGTCCTTTGCATGTGCTAATCTCTAACAGCACACATTCTACTAATGCAGAATGCAATGTTCATACAGAATTGAGTCTTCAGAGCCAAATATAGCAGCGGAGTAGGGCTCCTGGCTCAGGGCTTGCCTACTCAGTCCACTTGTTTTCTTACCTTTACCTTACGTATTTCTGTGAAGAGTTTGGATGGCACCAACATCCGCTATCCCAACCTGGGCTCATGGCTGCGGACAGCAAGCCCAGCGTGGGAGAGAAGCTGCTACATTAGCAGAGGTGACGTCAGCAAAGTAGGCCCAGCAGCAAAAGATGGTGCCTGAGGATCAGTTAAGGTTGGTTAGGTCCAACGCTGGTGGCAGCAAAGCACTGGCAGAAAGCAACAAGGCGATTTCAAGGTGAGCCCAGCAGTGAGATGAGACGTAGAAAGACTTCTCTTTAAGTGGTATGTTTTCATTTTTCTTCTTATTCCTGAACTATCAAGATGGTGCTGTGCCATGGCAACACATGAAAGGTTTTCACATATTTTATTGTATTTCCCACTGTAAAATGCCTCAATAAAGCACAACATTACCTGCATAGCATTGTATAGTCATGCAAAATCTGGAACGTGCAAGCAGAAATGACACCAAACCATGTTCGAGCAGTCCGACATGCATACTGCACTGGAAGCCACATGCACCTGAGTCATCATGAATGCACTCATGTCTCCAGAAACCTGCTGCTGATGGGGGAAATGTTTTGCAATATGTAAATCTGAAATTAACCTCATAGTAATTAGTAGCAAGAGTAGAATATTCAGCCCCCAAAGGCTAGTTTGCCATTCAACAATATTACTATTGATCTTCAAACTAAACATCATTTTGCCACACTACCTTCATATTTTTAAAATGTTGAAAGGGGAAAAGAGGTGGTAGTCATAGATATCAAACAGATAAAACCAGAATGCTGCTTGATTAAATATTGACAGCAAACGAGAGGATATAGGTTAGAATCTTGTATCCTCCATTGTGGTTAGTACGGTGCAGGAGGACATTTAATCAGATAGGACAGGACCCTGCCACCTTCCCACCTTCATGCTGATTAAGCACTTAAGTATCAACTATTGCCAACTTAAGGGCCTCGTTCTGCTGCTACTGGTACTCATGCAGCAGCGAGAGGCGGCCTCCAGTCAGATGTCTATAGTTCCAGGGGCTTTGGTTGGGGGAGTGGTGGTGGTGGTGGTGGGGGCAGGGGTTGGTCAGGGAGGAACTCACTTGGGCTAAGAAGCTGATGGCATTTGGCATTTGATGGCTGATGGCAGGCACATTTCAGTCCCTGGGGTCTTTAATCCTAGAAGAAGGCCCATTGCAGCCTGAAAATTGCAAGAGAGGCTCAAGATGTGGTGGGTCTCCCCAGAAAGAGACAGAGACAATGTGGGAACTTTGACAGCTCTCTAGCTAGTGGTCGTGACGCCCATAGCTTCCACAAAATTCTGCCCATAAGTTCAAATTACTAAAAGGTCAAATAAGATTTGTAACAGTGTCACTACACACAAAAAGATCAATTTACTTCGAAATATAAAAGTGGAAAACACTAATAACTGATGCCACAATCGGGAAACTATAGGGGATCTTCATGTAGAATAACACATACGGATCAAATGGACTTCCACATCTTGTGAAATTGAGTATACTGTATATGCTCATCAGTACAAACCCAATTAGACTAAAAGGATCTTTGTTTTGTGCAAAAGGCTGATATAAATATGAAACATATGCAACTTCCATTAAAAATTATTTAGCTTATTTTCACATATATTTTAAGCAGGGGAAGTTGATATTTCGTACGAATTCTGGCAGCATTGTAATGGAAATAGAAAACTCATCCAACATGTTATTACAACAAACACTCACCTCGTCGTGGGCCTCTGAAATTGCCTATTGGGTGGCAAATTGCAATTTTGCAGCTGTTCCTGCATTTCGGCTTGTGTCTCAGTTGAACATTGCTTTTCAACTACTGACATTTTAACTTTATAGTTGGATAGCCAGAAAATTCCGTCACTATTGAATACCTGTGAACAGAGAATACAACATATAAACTTCAATATATGGCAAAATTTCTATTTCCTCTTTATCCTTCCACCAGTTAAGAATCCCAGTAGAAATCTTTTTTTTAAGTCCTCTACCACCAATATGTTTCTTGTATTTGAATTATGGTGGATATACAGCACAGAATCTGGACATTCTAGACCAGAATTTAATATGATAAAAGGGGACAAAGAGGTGATAGTCATAGATATTGAACAGATAAAACCAGAATACTATTTAGTTAAGGAGATAGTAGGAACTGCTGATGCTGGAGAATCTGAGATAACAAGGTGTAGAGCTGGATGTAAAGCTGCTTGGCCTGCTGTGTTCATCCAGCTCTACACTCTACTACTTAGTTAAATTGTGACAGCAAAACAAGAAGACAGAGGGCAGAATCTTGTACTCTCCATGTGGTGGGTTTGGCGGCAGATGATACTTAATCAAATAGAATTAACATTTTAATGAGTTTTGAGAAAGAGTCACTCGACCCAAAACATTAACTTATCTCTACAGATGCTGCCAGACCTGCTAAGCTTTTCCAGCAGTCTATTTTTGTTTCCGATTTACAGTATCCGCAGTTCTTTTGGTTTTTACTCAACATTTTCAACCTGTCAAATATTTGGCCAATTTCCATCTTAAGAAAGAATAAGAAATTACACAAATCTCACTAGAATTTAATTGCAATAATAACACTCAACTTTCTGGGATAAACTGTTCATAAGTTAGGATAGATGCAGAGATTACAAGAACAATGGAAAATTGAATATAGTTGAAATTTTAAGGCACTGGGATAATTAGAGGGAAATATTTGGGCAGAAGGAAAGAAGGTCAAAAATAGTGAGACATTAAGAAAAGCTGAAAAGTAATTTCAACTCATAAGAAATGAGTGGACTAGGTTTCTGGACCCTTGAGCCTCTTTCACCAATGTATAAAATAGTGGCTAAATTATGGAGTTAAGTCCATTTTCCTGCTATTCCTCCCTTGACTTCCTTAGTTGGTTGTTTGATTGGCCATTCCCTTTCACCGGGGTCACCACAATACTAGTTTATCACCTTCATATCAATCATTATTTTTAGATTTGGTGAGTGGTTTCACAACCTGATGCCCTTCCTGCTGTTACACCTCCCAATTTATGAGGAATGGAAACCTTACCAATGTGCACTAGCTTGCCCCACTAGTGGCTGTGTAATGCTCGACTCCCTTGCAGATCAAAAATCTCTGTAAACTAGCTTTGAATATGGTCATGATGTGGAGGTGCCAGTGTTGGACTGAGGTGCAAAGTCAGAAGTCACATGACACCAGGTTATAGTCCAGCAGGTTTATTTGAAATCACAAGCTTTCAGAGTGCTGTTTCTTCATCAGGTGAAGTCACTTCACCTAGTTGGACTATAACCTGGAGTCATGTGATTTCTGACTTTGAATATTGTCAGCAACTCAGTTTTCACTACTTTGTGGGGAAGAAAATTCCAAAGACTAACAACTCTAATGGAAGAAATTCTTGCTCATTTTAAATTGGATACCCCTTATCTTGAAACTATGTCCTGTATTTTGTGTCACAAACAGTTAAAAAAAAACTTTCATACATGTCTTTATAAACACAATAAAGAGCCCAAACATGTCTGCTATGAAAAATCTCATGACTGGACTCAGCAACCTTCCAAAACATCTCAGAAGTCAACACCAACCGATTATCACAGGTATCTCCTGATGGAACGGGAATACTAATTATTGATTTATAACCTGCTAGAGGTGAGTGTCTCTAAGAAAAATCCCTACACAGTAGAACTGCAAGTTACATCTATCCTTTATGAAGAAATACTAATGAGTTGCCACTTGAACTCTGAGATGGGCCTTGGTCATTTGGTTATCTGCAATGAAAGCCTCTGTCTCGATGGTAACTGTTTGTTCCAACCCAAGGAGGCAAGTCATGAATTTCCAACAAGGCTGAACCCAATTGCCTTTAAACCAGTGCAATTTTAAAATTATTTAAGGGGTCAACAATGTTCCATACAGCTTCTATTGATGATATCAAAACCGATAACTTTAGGCAACAAAGGAAAAGCCTCTATCCTGTAAAGAAAAGGCCAATTTGCTTTCAGCAAGTAATCAACAAGACAATGAAACAGTAATTAAATATCAGCAATATTCCTCAGAAGACCTTCAAAGAAATTTTCAAAAAGAAGTAACAGTCAATGGTTCAGTAAAGCCCATTTCCCCATCACCTCCTCACATATGCCCTGCTCCTAAATCCTCAACTCACCCACTCAGAAGCAAACCTCCCCAAATATCCCACACTTCCTTCCCTCTAAATCCCCTGTCACTCGCTCACTCAGCAGCTCCTACCTCCACTCAGTCAGCAGCCACTCTTGGAGCTTTGCTTCTTCTCCCTGACTTGCCGAACCCTGTCAAAACTTGGGGTCCACTGCTCCCTTCATCTTGGAGCTGTGAGACTCTCTGGGTCTAACAAAAGGCCAGCACAAAAAGCATGTCCTCCAGGTGTGATGGGTCACAGCATCAAACTATAGACTGCTGCAAGACCAAATGTAACTTTCTGGAGTCTTGCTCCCCACCTCATAATGATTAGAGATTTTCTAGGCTGAGAATATTTCCTCCTGATTTTGGCCACATTGGAGATGGCAGTTTGAGAGGTCAAAGAAAGAATTAAATAAGGGGGAATTTCATCATTCAAAAGTTGGAAATCCACCAACAGTAAAACTTTCTCATCCCTGCTCCTAATTCTATACTATCCCATACCTCTAAAGAGGAAATACCCTTTCAGCATCTATGGTGTCACAGGCCCTCAGGATCTTATATGTTGCAATAAAAACACCTTTTGATCTTTAAAATCTAATGCGTATAGGTCTAACTTGCTGAATTTCTATTCCGATTACAATCCCTTCATCTCAGGAACCAATCTAGTGTACAGGATAAAGAAGTAGTCTATAACAAACAATTATAGACTAGTTCTGAGGAAGGGTCACCGGACCCAAAATGTTAACTCTGATTTTTTCTTCACAGATTCTGCCAGGCCCGCTGAGCTTTTCCAGCAACTTCTGTTTTTGTTCCTGATTTACGGCATCCGCAGTTCTTTCGGTTTTTATTTAGTCTATAACAAATGCCATGTAAATTAAGTAAAAGTAAATTCAATATGTAGGAATACCATTGATAACAACACATTAATCAACCTCTTAAGCCTCAAAAATCCATTCAAAAACAGTGGTCAACATATACAGTGCAAAATATAACCATTGGTATGCATATGGTTGTTGAAATTTTGAAATGTCATTGTCACCCAACACAAAAAATAGGTCTTAAACTCCTGCGTATTTCTGCATCACAGCTTGCACTCACTGCTTGATGCCTTAACTCTAATTATAAGGTTCAGAAAACAAAACATGCATTTGTGGGATAAAAAAAATTGAGACTAACTATTATTTCCATTTTCAGTTAAAATGGCAGCAGTGTAAGATACTCCAGCCAAAGCTCCTTTTCTCGTCAGTTCCTCCTCCTTTTTCTTACTCTTATTTCCTCTTGCTGCAGATTTTCTTCCCCACTCCCAACCTACCCAACTGTTAACTTCTTAAAGTACCCTACCTGGAGGGAATGGAGTACGGAGTCTGAGACCAGCCTGATGCGAGATGAGTCACAGCCAGAGCAGGAGCAGAGCATGCATGGGTGGAGTCCTGGAAACAAGTCGTGGCTGGAGTACAGAGCATGAGGACAGCGAGTGCGGGCCGATTCCCGGAAGCGAGTCGCGGCCAGAGCAGCAGCAGAGCAAGTGCTAGCCCAGTTCCGGAAACAAGTCATGGCCAGAGCCCAGACTGGGAGCAGAGCAAGTGTGGGCCGAGTCCCGGAAGTGAGTGATGGGTGGAGCGGCAGCAGAACACGCGTGGGCTGAGCTAGGAGCCAAGTTGTGGCCAGACTGAGAGCAGAGCGAGTCCAGGCCAGCCGGGGAAGTGGGTCCTGGACAGAGGCCAACACATGGAGGCAACAAGGTCTCATGCTCTGAAGCCCAGCGGGTATGGATTCAGTAAAAAAGGACTATAACTTGAGTACTTTAAAGATACTTTTTATTCTCATTTTGGACTTTTTATCCCACAAATGCATGCCTTGTTTTGTGAACCTTATAGTTGCCATGCTAGTCTTCTTTTTCACTATTTCAATTCTGTAACAACACTTAAAGTATCTGTACCTAGGTGCCTTGTACCTAAGATGGCAGCGAGGCAACATTACAAAGTTTATACTGCACTCATTTGAGTGCACGTGACAATAAAGGCTATTCTATTGTAAGGAAAACATTTTGTAGTTAAGGAGGTGGTGAAATGCAGGTAGATATCTTCTCTCCCTTCTGTAGTCCCTCATGATTGAAGGGAACTTGCTTCCATATTAAAAATGAGCTCTCTGGTGACAAAAGACTCCAATACATGACCTACAGTCTCTGCTAGAGGTGGCTCAGAATGCATGGGTGTCACTCGCTCCTTTCTCAGCTTGGAATTGGCCATGAGACTTGAGGTGCATGGATGGATCTTTCTCAGATTCTTGCCCTTCTTTTTGGTGCCATGGGCCAGGTTTCTCAAGTGTTGATGGGGCTGTTGCACTTTTCCAGTGAGGCTTTCAGGGTATGTTTTAAGTGTTTCCTCTGCCCTTCTGGAGTAGGCAGAGAACATGATAAATGTTTGAGGGCAGACAGGATGGAGAAGAACCCTTCATAATCCCTTGCATCTGACAGTGTCTAAGGCCTTAAGATTTAAGAGGTCAGGAACAAGGATTGGTCCCGTCCTCTGCATTTCTTACAGTTGTTGGACAGTGAACATTATATCCGTTGTGCCCTTCTAAGGGTGGAATGTGCATTAACAGAAAAATAACTCTATTTATTGTAAACAAGTATATTGTTTAACAACTGGTGAAAAATTTAATTACTAATTTACTACTAAGCTCTTGTCCTTTAAAACCCTAAGCGCGCCTACATTCATTCATAAATATC